TTGTTACTACTAGTAAGGCACCTGTTACTACTAGCGTGGCACTTGTTCCTAGTAGCGTGGCACCTGTTTCTACTAGTCCTCCTTTTCTACACGCACTATATGGTCCTCCCCTTTCTGTGTCCGTGACCCCGCCCACACGACAGACTTGCCCACATTGTGCCAACAGAAAGCATGAAGGGCATTTCATCCCAATCTTAGCCCTTGCAGAGCGCCCAATGTTCACTACTGATTCAGACAACCAAACGGGTGATGAGCACTGAGCACTAAGCACTTGCATTTTGTGGCAGCTCAACATACATGCTTCTAATGACGAATAAATTGAGCCGACCCCCCCAAAGCTACACGCCTTGACCCTTTTTGAAAGAACTCTTGAATAGCCAGCGGCCCTCTGGCTGTCGACTGACCCAATGCTGTATGACCAAGCCACTACGCACAACCAAGTAGGCGAAAACATGGTACAGCCTATTTTCCACCCTGCCCAGCCATCCCAAGCCATCCTTTGCCATAGACATTTGCAGCCGCCCCGCTGCCGGTACTGGCCGCCAATGGGTCATGATTCGTGTGATGCTGTTCTGAAGTGTGCTGCAACTTCAGGCTATGCCTGCAGTTTTCTTGTCATTGCCGTGCTTCTGGAAATGTTGCCAAGTGTTGAGGGGAATAACTTTTGTCTCCCAGAGAAAGCGGCGGCTTTCAGGAAAAGTGTCAGATTTATTGGGAGGACACTGCCTTTTGTTGCACAGTGCTGGTACAGGATTTTTTTGCATACTACTTTTCTGAACCTTCGTATTTTTGTCCGGAAATCTCTAATCTGCTCCAGAAATCTCAACTTTTCGCTCTTTCTGTACCTTCCGCAGCCATGGCACCATGAATGCCCCGTTCCAGTCCAGACCCCGAGCGCTGCATCACACGAGATCCCGTGCCAACTCTGCAGACCTGACGGTTGGCGCACCCAATCCATCCCAATCCTTTGATTCCCCTCCACACTACCTCGACCAGCGCATGCACAGAAGAATGTATCCCTTACCCTCGCACGTCCTATGACAAGAGTGTCAGATAAGAGTGACCTACAAGAGTCGTGCACAAGAGTGCCCTGCAAGAGCAGCATAGGACCTTCCTACAAAAGTGCCATACAAGAGTTTTCTTCAGGGACATACAAGATCGTCATGCAAAAGTTCTCAGATTTTCTGGGACAGACCTATAGGTGTGTTGCATGACAATCAGGTTCTTTGTTCGTTCGTTTCAAATTGCTCGCAATGCTTCAGACTGTTTGAGCCATGCTTGGAGGAGTGCTGCGATCAAGAATTGAGGAGTGGTGGGCAGGCAAACACAGCTTCTTCTCAGTTCTGTTGTCGGCAAGCCACTGAATATGCTGAAAAGATGCCCTGCAGTGCAGTGCCCTTCAAAACTGCGCATGTTCTCAATCTGGTTCGAACAAGTGTTCTTTGTGTCAGAGGATTCTGCTAGGGGCTCCTGGCCTTACTAGGAGCAAGGGCGCTACGAACGGAGCAAAGGGCATCGCTACTAATTCTGAGCGACATGATTTACTACTAGCTTCTTGTTACTAGTAGTAAGGCACCTGTTACTACTAGCATGGCACTTGTTACTACTAGCGAACCTTGTAGCAATTCTGTGTCGTCAAATCATCGCGTCTGGAGGTCCTGGTGAGTTTCGCGGAGGTGCGAGGCGAAGCTGTGCTACGCCATGCGCGGCAGTTCATCGCTGGGTGGCTAGTGCCTTGGAGTTGTGAAAAATGATATATTACAATACGCGATGGATTGATACAAATGACAAAGAAGAGGCGGACTTGGACTGGACGGTTGAACCTTAAGTTTTACCAAAGAGATCGTATTGACATCTAGACTCACTAGACGCATTCTTTTGTGAAGCGTCTGATTCTGCTACGATGACGAGCAAGACCGGGGTATTTTGGGGTTGCGAGGTCTCCAAGATCTTCGTGCACAATTTGTCTCTCGGAACGTTTGAACAGTAACTTGAACATGTCACAACATGTGGTCTTGCTGGGATAAGCATGGAAGTCAGCCTAAAGCAAGTGTGCGAATTGAATTTCGGAGGTTGAAATGGATTGTGCCGCGGTTGTGTGGTTTCCTCTGCACCCGTGGCCTCTACCCGCTTTTGGCGGTCGATTTCGCAGAGGACGTCTTAACAGACCTGGTGGCATGACGGCAGAGAGGAAACAAAAAGGAAACACAAAGAAGGCAAAAGGAAAACACATGTAAGAGAACATACCCATTTGCGCTCTGAAATGCTTGTTCGTCTAATGTTCTGAGTTTAGTATGTAATCCGAAGTTTAGAACCCATCGCATGTGTGATGTATTTGGGAAGGATAGGAGCAATGCTTTTCAAGACAAGTCTTGACAAGAACTTGACGGATTCTTGAAGGACTGTGACTGTTTGCTATATACAACATGTATATCTACATGTAATTCTACAACATGTGTATACACCACAGGTATACAGCAAGAAGCTACTAGGGGCTACGGGGCTCTTCGTTCCAGTTCGGTGAGGCACTCGAGAGCCAGGGCACACGGCGGCGGATGCACCGAAGCCGCTTGCGCCGCTGGCTGTGTCCCAAGCCGCTCGGAAGGCCGATCTCGGAGCCCTGGTGCTCTACGGAAAGAACGAGAAAGAGAGAGAGAGAGAGAACGAGAAAACAATATGTAAATAAGATTAGATAAGTATATAAACCCAACAAGAAAAAACAAGGGCATCAAGAAATTCGTGTGATGTGTAATGCGTTGTGCAGTCCTGAAGAATTGGCGCTTCTTGCTTTATTTGGGCCGTGTGATTCCTCAGGTTCAACTGCTGAAGCTAAGCTTCCAGACAACACGAAAACGACGCCCGTGTGTTGTGCGTTCCAACTAAGGCGTCCGCGCTACGGTCGAAGCGCAACAGACCTTGGTGACGCAGGTGTGCTGACAGAAGAGTATATATATATATATGTATGGTTCTCCCAACATTCTTAAATTGTTAGAAGATCTGAGTTGCTATTAGCAACAAGGGCATCGCTACTAGGGGCTCCTGGCCTTACTCTGGGCAAAAAGCTACTAAAGGCTCATGGCATCGCTACTAGGGGCTCCTGGTTTCCCCTTTTCTCTTTCGACCCTTCGACCTTTCTTTCTCTGGTTTCTTTTGGACCTGTTTGGCGGAAGCTAGTTTAGGCCCATCGAACATGCCGGCAGAGCTTATCTTTGCTTGCGAGTGCCAGCTTGACAAGCAGGAGCCCAGCTGAAGATGCCCCAGAAGGTAACTTTCCAACTTTCGATTTGTGAATTGAGACCGTTCAGTTACCATCAATGTTACGAACCCAAGACAATTTGTTCAATTCTAAGAACAATACCAAAGGCAAATTTCACTTGGAAACAGCTTGGAAAGCTGTTCGAAAGCGACCGATTGTGCTTTGACGTGTTCGAAGAGTGATGTGAAAACTTGCGACTCATCCGTAGGGTGGAGGCCATTACTACTAGTAACAAAAAGCTGCTAGTAGCTTCTTGTTACTAGTAGTAATGACCTCCAACCTAATAGCAATGGCCTCCACCTAATAGCGTCCTTGTTACTCGTCTTTGAAACGTGCTCAGAGTGTCAGGATCCGTGGGAGGTCCTCGACACTGCCACAGATTTATCGGTGCATTTCCTCGTGGTGTCTTTGACCACTGTGATCTACCCCTTCGCGCCGGTGCTGTTTCTGATGCGACTGGGTCACAGTAAGAGAGAGTACCACGGTATCGAATAACTTCTTCAAATCCTGAACATCCACTCCGTTGGAACATAAAGCATGGGGCTTACAGCTGAATTTGCAGATCTAAGTTTTGCAGTATCTTCTGTGTGCCTCTGTACCAGGAAATACATCCACGTGTACATTTCCACTATGACATGGGAGGGGTATACCTATGTATATTTTGTTTTATGTCCCCTACCTTGGAGGGGTCAGGTTCTGATTTTATAGAGAAATTGTGTGTGTATGGTGTTGTGAGCATGTTGTCGGTTAGGTGGGACTGGGACATGCTAGGGACTTTTCAGATAGGGTGTTCAGCCGTCATTTTACTTTTTCAGTTAGTGCGATTGTATCGCTGCCATTTTGGCGAAAAGTCGCCACTCGACGTATCGCCAGGTTGAAAGCCTGGTAAGCTTTTCAGCACTAGGGCCTGGGCGATTCGTGTCATGGCGACTGGTTCAGATCGTGCTGCTCCGCCGGCTCGTAAGGCTCCTCCACCTGGACTCGGTATCCCATCGGCAATGCAGAGACAAGTGGCAAACGCCAGTGGACGTTGGGATGATTCTTCATCCTCGTCGTCATGGGTACCGCTCGAGCTCGAGACACCACCTGCTCATGGCCAATCTCTCGATCCTGTGCCAGAGCGGGAAACTGTTGATCAACCACCAGTGGCGGGCCAAACAGATGTTCAGGAGGGAGCTCAGCCGGCGCCACAGCCGAAGAGTATGCCACCTCCTCCACCTCCTGCTGCCTACCCTGCTCAGAACACGGCTCCTGTGAACCAAGCTGCTCGGGGATTGCTGGATCACGCCAATGAGCCACCCATGTCACGTCGTTTGAGGAGGCAGCAGGAACAGGCAGCTCGCCGAGGACGGAGGGGAGTTCGTTGGGGACAGATGGCACCAGGCAACTTGGCACACAATGCTTTGAATGCCCAACTGCCTGATCACTTGTCCCAGATTGGAGGCAATGAGAATGAACGATCGGTGCTCATCGTCGACGGCAGGGACTGCAGGGTGCAATCGCCATTTCAAGGCTGGCTCCTAGACGAGGTGTTGACCAATGCCTTGGCCTACACCAACATCCGCTCGGATCGCAACCTCGTCAGGGCACCCACCAGTGGCTATCATTTTAGCCTGTTCATGGCGAAGACGCTCGATGGGGTGAAGGTCACCATTTGTGCCTCCATGACCAGCTATGGAAATGCACCATGCGCTCGCTGGGACAGCTTGACAGGTGAGGTACTCAGCCACAGTGCATTCCAACCGTTCAGGTGGCCTCAGATGACTGAGAACTCACCTACCTGGGTCGATGTGAAGGTGAAGTTGGAAGGCCACCTCCTTTGCCACTTCGAGCTCAGGGGGTATCGCTCCGATCGTGACTGCAGCATTCAGTTGTGGCACATCGCCGATGCCATCAACAATATATTGGCTGAGACGGTGTTCATCCCGGCCTTCGTGGTGACGATCTTCCAGGGCTGGCGCGTGGTGGCGGTCGCCTGGGAGGTAGGCGGTCAGATCTACGCATGTTCGGAAGGGGGCACGGTCGTTGCCTTGGACTTCCCGCTATGCCACGTGGAATGTCGCTTCGTTGCCACGGCATCCCCGGATGCAATGGGGGCCGATGCGGATCGTCTGGAACTCCGCTTTCTCAGCGCGGGAGATCGCTTAGACATTGCGGCCAGCTCGGTGCAAGTGCCACCCTCGTGGCTTGTGGTGAGTCGTGTCTCCGGGCCTACGCTCATTCGGAACGCCAAGTGGTGTCGTGAGCACGGCGCCCGTGTGGAATGCCCGGATCAACAGCTCCAGATGTCAAAGCTCGCAGCCATTCATGCTCATTGGACGGCGGCCACTGAAGCGCCAACAGAGCGCGAGACAGGGCCAAGGGTGTCGGCGATCGCCGTAGAGTCAAACCCAATCAATGTGCATCTGGTCTGTGAAAGCCCACTGTTTCGGAAAGAGCGGGCTTTGGTCAAGCCTGAGGCATTGGCGCTACAGTGCCGCAACCCGCTCGACGAGGTGGCGGCAGCAGTGGTGCCTCCTTTGATCGATGGGCCGGCTGTTCGACCTGTTGATCAAGCTCCAAAGTTTGCTCCCGCTTTGACTGGGCCAGTTGGGGAGACGATCGCGGCCACGCCAGTGAGCTCGGCAAAACCATCGATGACGAACCCTGGGCAGCTCCCACAGCCGGGCTCCTCGCTGACTGGATCGTTGGTGCCTCCCCGACGCACGTTGGAACAGAGACGGGGAGACTCCCTCGACTGTTCGGCCATGACGCCCCAGGCGTTTGTTGAGGCAGCTCGTCGACCGTGGTGGCCGGTCCCTGGATCTCAGGAGTCTCAGGTCACCATTGAAGAGGTCAACACGAGCTCCATCGCTCAGCCGAAGTCATTCGCACCACCGAAGCCTGAGGTGACGGAGGTGTGAAGCCGAGCTCGGCGAGTGTCAATTAGCTCTGATGACTTCGCTCGGAGCTCCGGAATGAAATAGGGGCTGTGAGTGATTCGTTAATTTATTTTGAGGCTAATTTGACGTGTGTTTTGAGAGGGTTCGCTTGCTGATCAGTCTCTTTTTATGCAGTTGAGGGGCTTCTGCGCTCGAGCACGCCGATCGGCCATCGTCCGCCCTTCGGACACGGTGCGGTCGCAGAGGCAAGATTCCCAGAGTGCGTTGTGGAAGCCCAGGGGCCTCAAGCCGTTCGGTGTCAGCACTAACTTGTTCAAGTTAGGGGCTCTGACATGTTCTGGCCTGCAGGGCTCCGGGAGTCATGAGTGCTTTGTCACGTTCGATGCATGCTGTTCACGCGGTTTTTGTTCTGAGTTCAGTTCATGGCCGTTGAACGCTCGTTCACTCATGCTAGATTCATTTGTTTTGATCGATGTGCACTCGGCGGTTTGAGGCCCGTGGAAGACGTGTCGGGAACCCACTGGGCTCTCGCCGGTGGGTTGTGGGTCAGGAATTTGGGCGGTCTCGGTCCGGTGGTTTGTGTGGTTCCGGTTCCCCCCCTCGGTTTCTGGGGTTGAGGCTTTCGACCCACACCACCTGGCCTGAGTTACCAACCTGGGTCAGTAAACAGGTCGTGCGCCGCTTCGCCGAGTCTTCCTCTCAAGATGGCCAACCCCGATCGGTGGGTCAGTAAGATTCTGGCTCTCCCAATTTTCGATGGCGATTTTAGGGAGGCTGTTCAGAGGTCACCTTTTGCCGGGGTAGCATTCGTCTCGGCCATGGACCCATGGTCTTGAAATACACCAGGAATCGAACAGCAGTACCTGCAATCATGGTCAGACAGCTCGTTCATGATTTAGTTCAGAACGAACACCCGGTGCAAGAGGACGCTGATACGCTGCTCTTGGACAGTCGCGAGACGGAGCTCAATGAGATCGAATTTTTCGTCAAGACGCCCAGCTCGGCGACCTACTATGAGTACAAGTTTCACTGCTCAGCTCGAGGTAGTGACACCTTGACAGCTTGCAGCAAGTTCGCCTTGAGTGAATGCTCATCGGTGGGCACAAATCTGCCCGACCTCTCCGTGTTCTGCAAGGCCTGCGCCAAGGCGCGACCTGAGGTGGAAACATCCTACACCCGTGGAAGCTCCAGCTCTGCCGTGTAGGTACCTCTGACGAGTTTTTCACGTGTGGTCGCGTCGAGCTGCAGTGTTTGAGGGTTTGTGTCGGCAGGCTGATGTTTCTTCGCTCAACCACGGTTTTGGTGATGTGCGAGCATGTTTATTTCATCCGCAGCCTTTTTCCGTGGTTCTTGAGGCGCTCGCGAATTGTCAGTGCCACATATGGTCGATCGCACCGTTTATGACGATGCGGCAACTCCGGAGCTCAGTCTCCGCCAGGTCTTCGGGCGCAATCGACTGGCAACCACACTGTGCAAGCTCGCTGCCGACAAGGGCCTGCTGAGTGTGGAGACCTTTGCCATGCTCGGCGACTCCATCGGGACCGTGAAGACCACTCTGAAGACAATCATTGGTGATGACACCTTGCTCGGTGCGGATCCGGCTGCACAGGAACTTGCTCTCACCTCCCTAGCAGCCATTTGGAGAACCTGCTCGACTCTGCAGGAGCATTTCGCCTCTCGGCGGGCTAAGATGGAGGAGGATCCGTCCAAAGTCCCGGAAATTCCGGGGGACGACCATGCGGAGTTCCGCGAACAGTTCGTGCTGAAGCACCCGGATGTGCTGCTCCCACACCATCGGGAACCTCACGGCAAATTTGTAGAGCGGATCCAGCGTGACTTCCTGGTTCACGGTTCAGTGCCATTCTATGAAGTCGGAGAGATGAGAACTCGAAGTGAGCAGATCGCACAGAAGAGCGGTCTTTCTAAGAACGCGGAGGACTTGCTCAAGGTCGTGACGATCGATCAACCAGCGTCTGCCGCTTCAGAGTCTCAGGTGATGGACAAATTGCACGCCTTCCTGGTGGCGCTCGAGTACCTGAACATTTGTGACTTCACCCATGCTGCGGGTCCTCTCCGGTACCTATCGGAACTGGAAGAGTGGCGCCACGACAACAAGGGTCTGGCACTTCTACTCACAGTGGACTCCCTGATCAGGAAGAAGGTTCATCGTCTCAACTCCGACCACCGCAAGACGTACAGCGCGTTCTCAGCTGCCCTGATCGAGGTGTTGACCAACCACAAGCAGTTGTGGAACGATGCTCGCTCGAGTGCTGAGCTGGACAAGTTCAAGCAGGCAGGGCACTCGGCGCCCACAACTCCTCCCAAACGAGCGAAGCGGGATCGGTCAGACACTCCGCCACGACCGGCAGCCTCTTCGAAAGCCAAGAAGAACAAAGCTCGTCGTGAACGACAAAAGAAGCTCTTGCAGTCCGCTCGGGACCAGATGGGTGGCAAGAACAAGGCCCCACCAAAGAAGGACGCTCGAGTCCCCACAGAGGAATGGTCGAAGATCAACAGCTTCAAGTACTCAGGCCGGAAGCGGCGCCCATGGTTCAACTGCTCGCTCGGCTGTCGCTTCGGTGATCAATGCAAAGCGGCTCACAGCTGTGTCGAGTGTGGTAAGGACCACCCTTGGCACGGCAACCACTGAGAAGTCTCTGGTTGGGGGGGTCGCTCCTTGGCTCAGGCGACTCCCCGTCAGTGCAGTGTTGAGCCTTGCGGCACGCATGAAGCTGCCTCACCCCAGCTGACAGTGCCGACAGCTCGTCCAGAGTGGCGCTCATGGTGTGAAGTTCCGCGTGATGCTGACCTTGTTCGACAACATGGCCCATGGTTTCTTGAGATCTTCTCCGGCACAGCTAACCTTACTGCAGCAGTTCGTTCGATGAACATTCCTTGTCTGCCCCCGGTCGATATCACCATCTGCCAGGAGGTTCCGACACCGTTCGATGTCGTTGATGCTGAACAATGGGATTTCATCTTCACACTGTGCAAGTCCGGGGCCATAATGTTCATTCACTGCGGTACACCGTGCAACACCTTTTCGAGCGCCCGGAAGCTCGATGGCGGCCCTCCGCCACTGCGATCGACAGCTTTCCCTTTGGGTCTTCCTGGCCTCTCGGAGGAGAACATGAACCTCGTTTTCCTGGGTAATCTGTTTTTGATCCGCTCGGCGGAAGCATGTGCTGCTGTTTTCGCTCAAGGAGGCAATTTCTCGATCGAGAACCCGGAAGCCAGCTTGTTGTGGTGTGCTCAACCGACGCAGACGCTGCTTCGCATCTGTCGTGCTTTCTTAGTCAGCTTCGACCAATGCGAGTTCGGTGCACCTTCGGTCAAGCCAACGACTCTGCTGGTTTCGCACCAAGTGTTCACACGCTTGGAGCGCCGGTGTACTGGCGGCCATCAACATGTTCGTCTTCATGGGAAAGTGTGGTCCTCCTTCTTCCAAAAGGAAGTCTTTCGAACCAAGCTCGCACAAGTTTACCCTGGTCGGATGTGCTCTGCTATGGCCAGTTGCATTGTCATTTGTTGGGATCAGTCTTTGCCTCAGTTCAACGCAAGCTTCAGTCTGACATCCGACAAGCGCAAACGGCCTGTAGGGCAACCGCTGCGTTGGCGGGATCATCGCCAAGCTCTGACCGCCCTCAAGGCAGAAGCGGCTGGTTACCAGCTCAAGCGTGGCGCTCGCAAGCCGCTGCTCGACATGGAGACAGAACCTGGTGTTGCGATCGCCTGGGCGCTCGCCATCCCGCACCCTTTGTCAGTCGAGGTGGAGCTGGACAACCCCCTCCGGGAGGTCATCCTGCGACTCGCTCGGAGCCCAGGACAAGTGCAGCAGCAGCGTCAACATGCTCTGCAACATTGGGGGCATCGCGCAGTGGCGTTGCTCCCTGAGACGAGCGATCTGCTCTCGGCAGTGCCCGATCGGGCCTTGCGACATCTCCTACGTGGGGTGCCGGATGGGGTGCCTCTGGTGCTAGGTCAGTGCTGCCATGTCGCCCTCTACTATGAGATGCTCCAAGCATGTGAATCGGTCGACGCTTTTCTGCCTGACTTGCTCTTGCAGGGCTTCCCCATTGTGGGGCCAATTGCCCGCTCGCGGCGCTGGCCAGCTTACGAAAAGCCTCAACCCCAACTACCTGTTCAGCATGCTGTTGATAGGGCCTGGGGGATACGCTCAAAGATCATTGCTCGAGTGAAAGGTGTGCCTGTTTCGGAGAACCTCGCCAAAATCTGGGAAGCCACCTTGGAGGATGTGGCTGAGGGGTCGACGCTCGGGCCTTTCAGTTCAACAGATGAAGTGACGCAGTTGCTCGGCAATGATGAGTGGATTCCGACTCAGAGATTCGAAGTCGTTCAAAAGAACAAAGTCCGTGGTTGCGATAGTGCGACTACGAATTTGGTGAACCAGATCACCGTGATCACGGAGAAGCTCCAGTTGCCATCGACAGACACCAACGTAGCTGCTCTGAGATTACTGAGATCATCTCTACCTGGAGCGAAGTTTGCTGGTTGGGTTCTTGACGAGCGCAAAGCTTACCGACAAGTGGGGATCCGCCCAGAGCACAGAAAGTTCAGTGTGATCTGTTTGAAGGATCCCAGCTCGGGACAGCCGGCTTTCTTTGTCACGGTAGGTCATTCTTTTGGGCTTGTGTCCGCTGTATACAATTACAATCGTCGTTCGGCGGCCATCAATGAGATCCTTATGAAGTTGTTCAATTTAGTGGCCTTTAATTTCTATGACGACAAGTACGGTTTCGAGCCGGTCGAGCTTGTTGAGTCAGCTTTCTTGGCAGCACAATCGGTGCGTTGGTGGCTTGGTGCTCGGTTTGATGCAAAGAAACTGCAGCTCAGTTCGAAGCCCACCATCCTTGGAGTGACATACAACCTCGTAGACTGGGTCCTTGGAATCAAAGCAGATCGTCAGAAAGAGCTGCTCGACGAACTCGAGAGCATCCTAGCCTCAGGTGTTCTCGAACCTGGTCATGCTGGGAAACTCAAGGGCAAACTCATGTTCGGGGCTAGCCAACTGTGGGGGAAGGTCGGTCGTGCTTTTCTGAGGTCAATTTCGGAACGACAGTATGCTCGGGTTTCCAACTCGGAAGTGTTCGGGCTCGATCGAGCCTTGAAAGAGTCACTGCTGCAATGGAAGAAGCTCGTAGCTTGCGGTCCGCCTCGGACGATCGACATGTGCGCCTTCAAGATGGCAGATGCAGTTCTTTTCACGGACGGTTTTTCCCCCGATCCGAGGGACAGCGTGAAGCTACCCGACCGGGTAGGAGCTGTACTGTTCGACAGACGCATGAACCATGCTCTCCAGTTCACTGAGGTCGTTCCGTTCGAAGTGAAACAGAAGTGGTCGGCTCGCCAGACGCAGATAATTCCTGTGGAAATGCTGGCACCGATCTTAGCTCTTGAAACTTTTTCGGACCGACTTTTTCAGGCTGATTTGCTCATTTTTATCGACTCGGAGGTGGTTGAAGCCGCCTTGGTCAAGGGTTATTCAAGTAAAGAGGACCTATGCCTGCTCGTAGCTTGTTTTTGGGATCTAGTCCTCAAGCTCCAGGCAAGGGTTTTTATAGATCGTGTGGCAACAGATGCCAACCCGGCTGACTGGCCGTCTCGTGACAACCTCACCATAGGTGAGAAGGTTGGCTGGATGTCGGTCGCGCCTTGTTGGCCTCTGGGTCTTAAGTGAGCTGTTCAGTGACAGTTCGAACGGTGGGCCTGGGATGTGTTAAATGATCCAAGCGAATTGGGTCTTTGTGTTTTTCCT